GATGAAAAATAAACTATTTGATTATTAATATAGAATAAATAATGTGTAAAATTTTTAATTAAAAAATATATAGCTTATTTATATTTCGCATAGTGTAAAAATTGCAACACAATTAAATTATTTATTGAAATCAAAATGAATATTAAATGTTAGGAAAATATTGACATAAATATTGACATATTGCTACTACTGGATAACAAAACGTTTGTTTTATTTAGCACAATAACATATAAATATTATATAAGTATTATAATATTATGCCTACAATTCTTCATTATCAACTATTTTCATTGAATATTTATAAGTATCATATTATTTTTTCACATTAAACTATTATACTTGAAATCTTAGTTTTAGATCATTGAAAAATATTTTCAAGCAATTAACAAATACTAATGAATTATTTTCCAACAGAAACTATTATTATTTTAATGAAAACATACTTAAGTGTTCCCATGCTCATAGAAATAAATTCATTAACCAAATTTTTACTCATAAAATCTTATGTTAATGAATGTACAGTACAGTATTTGTTTAAAAAATAATTTAATTAATTTTAGAAATAAAAATAATCCACTTTTATTTTCTATGCGAGTAGGAATTTTATTTACGAAAACACTATCAATATTTGAGTTTTAAATCATTAGCCCATTGTATCGCAAGAATTTTGTATATACAGTAAAATTTATTATTAATATGTATTGTCAGTGCTGTAAAGTAATTACCGTTTACTGAAGCTGTTTATAATCACAAATCACTAGAATATAAAACGAAATACTCTAATATTAATTAATTATTAATTCACTGTTTGCATATAAATCTGTATTCATACATTTTGACAAAATTAATCATTAATTAAAATTATATATTTTTCGCATATTACACTGTATTTTGAAATAGATTTGAATAATCTTTGTTTGTGCTTCAAATTATTAAGTCGATACACTTATACCGGCATAGCCTATATCAGTAAAATATCATATATTATTAGTTTACAACAAATCTACATGTATTATTATTTTGGGGTTTCAAACAATAAACGAAATGTTTGTATGTAATTGAGTTTTTGGCACCACAACTACCTACACGACCTTAAATGTATATTCGGTGGACATCCTATATAATTGAATGTAGTCTACTGTATGTAATGATAGATAGTTGTTGACACCAACATACAAGTAGGTTTTGTAAAATATTGTGTAGGTTTTTTAAGTGGTCAAAACTCATATAACTTAACATGTTAAACAAATATTACTATATATATATATTGATGTCAAATATTCTAATATAAACTACAAGAATTCAATGCCTGAATCAATATATTTATTTGAAAAGTTTATTTAAAAATTTATGCGATAAATAAATTAAATTAAAATTCATAAAAATAGTCATTCATGATAGGGCTTCCAGTCTCTTATATTTAATTAAAAAGTTAGTATTCATTAATTAACTAATTGATTGGTGTGTCATAAGCAGTATACTGCGAGCATAAAGTACTTTTCTGGACAATAAACTCTCGAAAGTTATGATAAATTTGTGTAATAATATTCGGTTCAATGAAATAAATGCGAGCATTAAATAAAAAGCACAACATTTATAAGACTTGTGCCACGGATTGAAAGGCACCGCTATTTCTACTCTATTTGTGAAAGCGATGGTAACATATGTTTCGGTTTAAAAAGTGTCGTATAATTTCATATAAAATTTTTCATATTTTTCCCAAAGAGTTAGTAGCATTTGGCCAACAATTTCATTATTACTTATATTAGAATTACTTTAATTGATTATATTTTTAGATATTATAAGAGATTTATAGGGTAATATTAAGGGGCTATGAATATTATCAGAGTTTCATTGGTTATATAAAATCAATGAATTTGTTTAATTCTGTATGATTAAATTTTTATATTAATCCGACTTATGATCTATTTTTGTATTTTATAAAATTTATTATAAATCCTATAAAATAATTTCAAAAACTGAAAGTCTTATAGTAGTCCTTAAATAACATATCATTAATAAAAAACACTCCAAAACGTGTCGCTTTTTATATTAATTGGTTGATTACACCTATGTTTATCGATTTGACTGGTGTCATTTAATTAATGATTTACATAAGTAATATAACTATAAAAATTTTGATTGTGTGAATAATAAAAATAATAATTTAGTAAAAAAAAATTTTAAAATCTCAATACGTTGTAATGTGTTAAAAACCAAACCATTCAAATTGAACATTTGTCACGTTTCTAAATGCAGAATATTCTGTAGTAAACCTATTATCTATATATATATATTTAATATAGTGAATTATAAACTTCTGTTATATATCATATCTGTATAATATATTTATTTAATATATACAGCACTGAATGTAATATTAACATAACTTAAATAAATACATCTACCGTAGTATATATCAAAGTCTTTGGCATATATCACACCTGATTTTATTAAAAAATATTCATAAGTAAAGTGCTGTTTCTATGACTACAACATCCGGATTGTAAATTTTAAAATTTTTCAAATAATTTTATTGGAATTTCAAAATATTTATTAATGTATTGGTATGTCCAATTGAGCATACAGTATGTTTACAATTAATATTTCAAATTTAATGTCTAATTAATGAAATTATTTAATTAAAATAACTTATGTAAATATTGCTTAATATACAGCATAAAAACTACTTTTGAAAATACTAATTATTTAAATTAATCAATATTATCAAGATCAAAAGAATAATTTTATTTTTTGAATTGATTTTGACAGAGAACTCCCAAATAGAAGTGATATAACTTACAGTATATTATATATTTTTGTCGTTTTATTAGTATTTTAGTGATTCAGTGAATTCTTTAGGGCTTTGTTTGACTTGTATATAGAAAATGATGTAAAAACTGATTACTAGTATACAGTACTATATAACATAAACTATAATAAAATGTATTATTCCGTCTACTTATCGCTTAGAGATATACACAGTATTATGATACGAGAAATATTAATAAGATATGAGAAAATGTAATATATTTTGTCTCATTTCTTGAGATGTTATAACATACAAACATTTACTCTATATTTCTTTATCTTAAAGCTAATTATTGTATAATTCATGTCTTAATGTGAAAAAGAGGACTAATATTACGGAATATTTAATTTAATTTAATAAACTCATTGATTGATATGTCTGTGCAGTAATTATTAAGGCTTACAATTTATTTTTGTAGCTCTAAATCAAATAAAAGAAAAATCGCTTTTATATTATAATATAAACAGGAACTAAATGTTCAATAATTTTCTGATTATATCGTCGTTTCATTGAAAAATTTTGCCGATACTTAGCCATAACTGTAAGCCTTACTATTGATTCAAATGTAGGAGTTCTGCGAAAAACAACTTTCGTAACAAATTCTCTGTCTATTAGTTTTGGATTTACGACTTTCGTGTCAATAATTGCCCTGAGCTTCGAGAGTAGAAATCATCCTTCATTTTAGCATAAATTCCTTTATATTGAAAAAAAATATTTGATTTTTCTTAGACTCAAAAAACTTTTACTTATCATAAAAGCATAAACTAGTAAAAAAGGAAATGAATAACTGATTCATATATTTGATAAATATCATGTCTTATTCAACTTATTCATATTATAATATATAAAGTACCGTAACTTTCATTCTTGATTGCAATATTATAGCGTTGAATATTACACAACAACACCGGGGGAATTGTTTTTATTTAAACAAACATTTTTCTCATTTTCTAAGGAATAAAAACAATTCTCATAATTAATAACTAATGTACAGAAAATACTTATAATTAATAAATTTCAATAAAAAGGATTCCGAGTCATAAGACTCGGTGCGAGAGACTCGAGACTCCGTTAATGGAAGCGATTTTAATTGCAAAGCCGTCTAAACACATAAGACTCGTGTATTTTGTCTCTTTTGTGCGGATCTCTATGGAAAACACAAGAATAATGTGTAAAATAGATATTCAATGGGAAAGTGTAGAGCGAAGTGGGAGTGGAGCGCAGGACCGGTGGTTCCCAAGCCTCTCATGAAGTGATGCTAAGGAGAGAGGAGATCGTCGCTCGGATTCATGCGATGCCTCCGTATTTTGCATTCACTTTGGATACAGTAGTCGTGTCTCACATGTGGTCCATAAGTTGTCTTATCTGTTCCCCTCTGAACGCAAAAACAAATAAATAAATTGATAGCAAAAATTTTTTTAACGTTGTTTTTATTTCACTAAACCATTGCTTTTTAGGTAAGCATTAATGCATTGTTTATGTATTTTTTAGTTTTCTTTTCTTTATTGCACTAAAAACTGCTGTTATTTTACTCAACGAAATACTTGTCTACACATCTTATAATGTTATATAAATTTTTAAAGTTTTTTCGTTCAAAATATGTGCTCAAAAAAGCTTTGGAGTAAAATATATTTCAGTTTATTTTCCAATTATGGTGTAAATTGTGTTTTTAAAGAATATTCTTGTTTTCTTTCAAGTGTTTATTTCCAATGTTATGTTATTTATGAAAATAAATTGATCGTTGAGTAATATAATATATTACTGTATAATATATCCGAGTTTCTAATGGCTTTAAAAGTTGTGAAATGATGTGCTTTTAATCAATGCTTTGATAGAAAAAAATATGTGCCTGTTCCCATTTAATCGATGAGTTTGTTTGGACATTAAGCAAACAATGCATTTAAAAATCGATTTAATTTAGTATGATTTGAAAACAAACCATTTTTCTCTTTTATATACAGATTAATGCAAGAAATGCTTGAATGCAAAGCAAAACACATACACCAAAACCTTCGCAACAAAACATGAACTTTATTTAAAGCAAAAAAGAGGAACGACATTCAGTACGATACAGATAAACGGCTGTACAATATATACTGTATATTCAATACATTAAACGCACAGACAGTGTATGTTCAAGATATATTAGGCGCTCATTAAAGCGGATCCAATGCCTGCCAGAAAAGGACTGTTAGCCCCGCAAAACACTTTCTTGGATACCATCGCATATATTCAATACATTAAACGCACAGACAGTGTATGTTCAAGATATATTAGGCGCTCATTAAAGCGGATCCAATGCCTGCCAGAAAAGGACTGTTAGCCCCGCAAAACACTTTCTTGGATACCATCGCCACTCGATTTGATGGCACTCGTGAGTCAAACACTAATTCCTTTTTAATGTTTATTGTTTCGACGGTAAATAGTTTTTTAGTCTCAATATTGGGCTCACATTTTCAATCTTTTTTCAATCCGGGTAAATATTGTGAACAAATAATGAGTTTTATAAGAAATGGTGAACTGTTTTGTTATTTTCTTATAATCAAACGAAACATTTGGATAAAATAGAAATGAAATAAAAACAAAAAGATTTTCTCAAAAAATTCTTTATAATAAAGAATAATAAAAATTTAATAGATATTAATGACATAATATTTCATTTGAGATGTTTTTCAATACTTATTTTTTAATATTTCATAGTTTAGAGTAAAATTATATAATTTTAGTATATTAACTAAAAACAATCAGAAGTTTTAATTTATTTAATATTTCTATTTTTAAATATTAATGATAATAGATTACTATTAATAATTTATGTAATAAAACTCTACTTTATTACTGGTTTAAATAAATGATTGAGATTGAAAGATTGATTAGGCAAATTTTCTGAATAATTTCTTATAAATATTTATAAGTTACATGTTACATATAAGTTACAATTTATATATAATATATTATTATGTCACGTTTAATAGCACGTTTCTTATAAGCAAGCTCAATCATAGTTGAGTAATAAATGCCAATCTTAGAAATTTTTACATAAAATATAAATTGTACATGTATATATTAGGCAATGTCAATTGCTAAATAGATCAGACAATATTCTGTTCAAATGACATTATAAATGAATTTGTTATGAAAGTGAATTTTTCTTTCGCAATTGACTTCATATACTCACAGAATATCCATAATCCAAACGTACAGACAGATTCTAATGGTGTTTAATTATGTGAAAAATAATATACAGTACATAATCATAACAATTTCGTTGGTTCTGCTTATAGTCGACCTCTTTCTTGACATAACAAGCGATTGAAAATAGGGATCAAAAGAAGATATTTAATATTTTCTCCAAACTTTTGCCCACTATTTACGAGATTTCGACCATTTCTTACTAAGACAACAGGAATTAATTCATAATGAGTTATCTTTTGTGTCGCGAACCGTGAAATTGACTCAAATATTTTTTGTATAGATTTGACAAATGAAATATTATATTTGGCATCGGCATATAACACCATTCACTGATTCTCAATAGACAAATTCATCCAGGTTATAACACCCACACTGAATAAATGATTTTTAGTATAATATTAATACTTGTTTTCAAAACAAATAATTGTCAAATATATCGTATAAACTGTGAGAGTTCACTAATAGTAAACAGCGTGATTTTAAAACTGGTCATACATTTTTGATTGCTTCCCATTTAAACATTATTTAATCTTTTTACAAAATGTCTTTGGTAATTGCAACGGGGAATGTTGGGATTTTGTTTTGGGTATATAACATGCTTTTATTACATTACTTACATTAGTTACATACGCTTAATACAATTATATTAAAATATAGCAATTGGAGAGAGAGAGAGNAATAAACAGCATATTTAGTCACAGACTGTGAGTACATGAATGAGTTTTGGTATTTATTTACGAAATGTTGTGTTATGTATATTTGGGTTTCAATTTATATCAAATTGAATGCAGAAATAAGTTATTCCGCGAACTAATGATCCAAATGTTTATTTTCGTAAAAAGATAGACTATTAAAATTTTTTACGATGTTTACAAACATAATATGTAAAAATTAAACAAAACTTATTTCTTGATGATCATTTAAGTGTAAAATGTAAAACACTGTTAGGAATGTATAGAAAATTTATTAAATTGTATAGAAAACCGATCACATGTTATTACATTAACAATAATAAAATAATAGATTATTCATTTTAATTATTATATAATGAAAATATTATTAATTAGCAAAATTATTACATAACTAATCACATAAGTAAAATTTCGCAAAAAATAAAAAAAATAAAAGCACAAAATATGTTAACCAATAGTGAGAACAAAGTAATACTACTTTTATTACTTAAATATATTTAATACAAACACAAATGAATAACTTTTGTTGCTTCGTAAAGATTTTTAAAAAACTTCATTTAAATTGACATAAAAAGTAAAAGTAAGAGATTATTTTGAAAGCATTTCTCTACGGGACTAATTTTGTACGCAAACATGTTATTCTACATACTAAATATCAGGGTCATAATTAACAAACATATATTTCTAACTCGCTTGTTAGTTATTCTTAGTTATTAAAATTTAGCAGAGTAATTTATAGCTACTTATAATCATAAGACATTTCATATTTACATGAAACGTATCGAAATAAATGCAAAGTTCATAGTTTTCTATATAATAGCACTTAAAAAGGAGTTAAAATTAATTATTTGCCAAAATTTATGTTTAAAATCTTTTTAATTAGTGTCGGATTCTGCGATATATATTCAGAAATCCTCTCATTTTGTGTTTGTATATATAATGAGCAAATTTATTGTTCATTACGACAAAATTAATGTAAAGTCTGAGATATATACCACTCGTATAAGGGTTTTGGATAATTGAAACTCATTTTTCACGAGTGATTGTTTGTTTTGAACGCCAAATCTCGCTTTGCATTACCTTTTCATATACTGTACTAACAAGAAATGTTAGAAATAAATGATTTTGTTTCCAACTTTTATATGATTTATTTCTTTGTGTCTTATATACTAATTAATGGTAACATTTTTCCCATTCTTATAAAAACAACATTTTTACTTATTATTATTAAATGGCACTGTATTGTACTGTATACAATATTTTCAGCTTAAATATTGGATTACAAATTGTGGCATTTTATTATTAAAAATAAAATAAAACGATAAAAATCACAATCTTTTAAATAACGATTGGATAACAAAAAAAAATAAGGAAAATACCAGAATATTATTAATATATCTAACATTGTGCGAGTTTTGATTTATATTTAGAGTAGCGAGATTATTGTTTGAATTGAGGGCATATGGACTGCAATTATTTATTTTTATTTATAAAATCGTCTTTATACTTAACACACACCAAAAATGTGTGTGTGTGTGTTTTCATATTGGTAAGGCTTTTCCACTAAACCCCATTGAACATCTATTGGAAAAGTTTGTCTATGTTTTGCAATCTAATATAAAGAGTAAAATAAATATAAAAACCGTAGACTTAAGTAACAAAAATTATTGTGTTTACGAAAGTCTTCAAATGAAACTAAAAGATTATGCAAAGCTTTTGCAAACATAAATAACTCTTATATTTCTTCATTGTTTGTTCACTAAAACACAGTTTATTTAAAACTCCTGCGATTCCGCTCTAATATTCTGCTCATGAACTATAATATCATAGATAAATATTGTGAGACATACTTATTGTTATCTAAATTCGTAATTATTAGCAAAAAAATCTCCCTATTAATAACCCTACTAAATTTAGTATTCAAACAGAATTTATAAGTATTACTAAAAATTACTATAATAATACTACGGTATTTATATATACAAGTTAGTGCTATTTATAGCAATATTTGGTCAAAATATAATCAAAATCCTATTTATATATACAGAATATTCTACACTAACTGTTATAATAGGAATTTAAATGTAATCCACAATGAATTGTCTAAAACTCGTGAACTATATGTCGGCACAGACAGCAACTTTGTGTTGGGCAACGCACAGGTGCCGAACAACCTGTTCCCCATCGTCTACTGTTCCGATGGCTTCTGTGAGCTCACGGGCTTCGCGAGGGCACAGATCATGCAGAAGGGGTGCGCCTGTAGTTTCCTCTTCGGCGCCGACACTCTCCCGGAGCTCAAGAAGCAAATAGAGGAGTCGTTGGCCAGCAAAACGGAGCTCAAAATTGAAGTCATTTTCTACAAACGAAACGGTAATCACTTGCGACAACTAAAGTGCTTTTCCTTATGGGTTAAGACGTGGTGTTGTTTGTACGCAATGGATGTATAGGCAGTCCCTTCTGGTGTCTGCTGGACATCGTTCCCATCAAGAATGAGAAGCACGAAGTCGTCCTATTCCTGGCCTCCCATAAGGACATCACGCGCACCAAAATGGCCGAAATGGAGGACCAAATCAAATACAATTACGACGTCGAGGAGTGCGACGGCATGGACGCCAACAGCCCGTCCGAAGAGGACGGATGCCTTCCCGCCAATAACTATCAGCGCCGGAGGAGTCGCGCCGTTCTCTACCAACTGTCCGGACACTACCGGCGCAGTGTAACCGTTAAATCAAAACTCAAATTAAATAATGTAATTGTGTTTCCATGCGAGATGTCACGCAAATGACACTGATTATATTTTTTGTCTGTCCACCACTTTATGACCAGAATATACTACACTCGACGGCATTGCCTGAGTATAAAACGGCTGCATTCAAGAAGTCACGACTCGTTCTCTCGCATTACGGCATATTTAAGACGTGCTGGGATTGGCTCATACTTATCGCCACTTTCTATGTGGCGATTGTCGTCCCCTATAGCGCCGCCTTCAGACACCCCAACACCGACGAGAGGCCCGACAAATATAAAACAATCATCACTGACATTGGCGTCGAAATTGTCTTTTTATTGGGTGAGTGACGGCCGCTGGAGGCACACAAGGGATGACATTATGTCTAAATGATATCCGTTTCTATACACTCCAGACATAATAATGAACTTTCGGACCACATTTGTTAATAAAAAGGGCGAAGTGGTCGCCAAATCCAAGTCAATAGCTAAGCACTATCTGCGCGGTTGGTTTCTGGTGGATCTCTTGGCTGCCCTCCCCTTTGATCTGCTATACGCCGCCAACCTTTACAGCCGAGTAAGTCATACATTATATAATAGTCTCTCTCTCTCCCTCCCTCCCTCTCTCTCCCTTCCTATCTTTTCAGTCCATTTCTATACACAAAAGCTTTCAACGATTTTAAGCAATTTATGCCATAATTCTCTGAAAAACTTTTTCATTATATTTGATAATAAGATTACGCCATTAATACATTTACTAAAATTGACGCGATTATTGCGATTGGCCCGGCTATTGCAGAAAATGGATCGATATTCTCAGTTCAGTACACATATTCTCTTTCTCTTTACGATTATTCATTATAGTATTAAAACACATTATATAATATATATTACACAATATATTGATATAAATACTAATATTATAATTTTATGCAAAATTTCGTTTCAAAAAATCGTGTCAATGTTTTTTACTAAAGTGTGAAAAATCTTTATTTTATTCGCTTTTTATGAAATATTTTTTGCTTATACGACTAAACACATCACTTTACGTTTTATTATATTTTCCCTAAAATAGATGAGATTTTAAAATTTAATTTTATTTGAAAATAAATAATAGCTATATTTAAATAAGAAATTACATTTATTATGATTTTTATGCTTTCATATAACAGTTGTTTTCATGTAAAATATTTATATTTATTTCTACGAAATATTTAAAATTCCAGTACTATATTAATTTATGGCTACAAAACACCAGTTATATGAAGTTTAACTAGCTTTTATAAACACCAGCTTTTTATTTAATGAAAATCTGGTGCTGAATGCATAACAAACTCATATAAAATGGGCCAAAAGTATTACAAGGGATTGGGATTGCGATTGCGATTGTTGTTTTTGATGAAAAATTCAATGGAAAGCCTAATTCTGTATTCATTGGCCAACTCATTGAGAGCATCATTATTTTAAACGACAGTTTTGTCGTAATTATACCTCTTTTTCTTCGCGTTTCCTCTCGAAATACTTAAGAAAATGTTGTGATATGTACTCAAGAATATCATTAATTCTCTGTATAACAGGTGTTTCGCCTGTATTACAGTAAAACACTTAGTCTTTTTGCTTAATTCCACTACTTATTCAACAAATTGCGCTCATATTAACTAATATAAACGGCAAACACGGCTACCGTTCCCATTAAACCCTATTGCTATTTCGAAACTATGATTAATTCCTTCAGCGAATTCAAGGTTAGCGATGCTCTTATATCCCCAAATGGACACTACATCTCACAAAGTACATTGCTAATTGCTAATTGAACTATGAAATAGGATTTCTAATTA